CAAGAAAGCCGCCATTGGATTTATATTTCGATATTCCATGTCGTCAATAGTTCAGTTTAGTAAATCAATACTTTCAATTATTTCTTATGGTCTTAATGTAAGCTTACAAATCATTGCACTTCGTTTCCAACGTTGATCGGTGTAAATATTGTTGAAAGCTTTTCGTATAACCTTGCTAACTGCTAACTGTTGATGTTTGTAATGTAAACATTTATAAAACTGGTATTTTTAAAACTGGCACTTTGCAGCTGGATGTAATTTTGAGATGGCGTAGGACACATGCCGTCCAGGCGTAAATAACATTGCTACAGGAAGCCCATGTAAACGCTTTTTAGCGTCTAGTTTCATTTAGTATTGAATGAACTATGTTTGTGTAAAATTTCAGCATGATTGGATTGTTTTTAAGGCCATTGCATCGCTTTGTTTTCAACCTTTGTACAGACTGATTACGGGACACGATAATTATGTTGTTGCGGCAATATTTTACGACCTTTTACTTTGGCGAATTTCTCAAAAATAAAAATTTCCTGGAATCTTTTAATATGCTTTTTGGAAAAGGTCTACCTAAAGGTGTCATCTGGCAAAGTATGAAGAATTTGACCAAGAGGTCACTGAAATCACATTCTCGATGCTTGGGGAYATTCGCTCTTAAATCCTGTAAAATGCAATTTTAACTTTATCGAAATTTACAGATGGCTATAATAATATAAACCGCCAAACGCCAAYTAAAATGTATGAGTTCAAGTATTTTAAACGGACTACTTACCCTCTTTTAGCTTGGCAGTGTTGGCGATGTTGGCTCAATCGAAGTTATAGGCRTCATTTTGAATACACAGGAATCCCGTTACAACAAAGGAAACCCAAATTGAACTTTGGAACTGTAAACCTTGCCGCGGTGACGCACAAAGAGGGGTACTTCTATCCCCCCACAAACGGGCAAGGTCAAGTAGTCGGCATGGAGCCAACCTTTAACAAAGTGGCCTCAAAGTTTTATTGTGCCAAAAAAGCATGCATCCTCCAGCGACATCCATACTTTTGGAAGGGAATGATTCGCCGTTGATGAGGATGTGGCAGCACGACTCAAACAAGGGCACAAGAATCAACTCCAAAGAGAGTTACATTTCATTTGCTAAGTTAGAATATAAAGTTTTCCATCTTGATTTTTTWTATATAWTTTTTCTAATATCTTATTAACYGAGTGCAAGGGCRTACGTGAAGTAATGGACCGAGTTGTTTTATGGCCTGAGCATGTAGCGCAACGTGTGAGGGACATAAGTAAGCAGAAAAAGACAAGCSTCCATAATTTCACGTGCTGCTCTAGCGCAAGCGAGGTTAATAAGATAATTATTATATAGCATTTCAAGGGGAAAGTAGTAAAAGTAGAGAATAGGGCATAAAAATACGTTTTTATTCGTACTTTCTAGTATTCATAATAGTAGGAAAAAAGAAAAGACTGACAAACCTCGATGACAAAATTTRAATTCCTTTTTGACTCTGCTTTGTACTAACAGTACAACTATAATAACATTTAACACAATTTTAGATTGTTTTTGGTAGAAATTGAAACCCATGGTCGCCCATAATTTCTATTTCTATGATTCCAGATGTGTTCAAATACTTATTTTTTTCGTTGAGTTATAATGGCTTAGGATATCTCAAATGTGTAGATCAGCCGGTTTCATAACAGATAAAGTCAAAAACATGAATTTGCACTGAGCTATGAGTTKGTTTCTTAATGTAGAAACTGCACAGTTGTAACCAAGATTTTGTATTAATTAGAACACCCCAATTACAATCAATTACGTCATAAATATATCATGTGACACAAAAGTCAGATGTACACGTCATGCTTTTCTATTTCTATCACATGGTCAATCGAAGTACGAGGCAGAC